CATGGAGCTGATCTCTCTGCTGCTGCAGCAGGAGATGGACATGCAGAAGCAGCAGGCGGCCTCCGAGCAGCAGGCAGCGCAGCTGCACAAATGCGAGGCTGAGCTGAAGAAGGTGAAGTTACAGGTTCGAGACCTGGAGGACTACATTGATAATCTTTTACTGCGGATCATGGAGCAGACGCCCACGCTGCTTCAAGTGCGAAGCAGACACAAGTGACGACAGTGCTGGTGTTTGTGTTTGTACTGCACATGACGTAAGATCCTCTAGAATACTGTTTCCTCAGAGTGGCTACAGAACACAGGGTTATTATCAAAGACTGGGAAACGTTGTTCTAGAGACAGTCAAACAAATGCTCCACGAAATCTGATCTCACAGTCATCCAGGTCTTCTCACTGCTAATACTGCCTTGTTGATGTAGACACGATAATATCCAACATGCATGCTGGTTGCTATCTCAGTTTGGCACAAGCAGAAAACAGAGTCAATTACTATGAGAGGAAAAAACTTCTATCAAAGCTAAACAATTATTTCACTCATGCTTTGTAGAATAATTTAAGGTAGTCAGCTGCTGTCGACTTAAACTTTAAACTCACTGCTTTCTCACGTGCAAAAAATAAAACACAGGCTGGAGGAAACACTTTCTGGATGTGCATTTAAGGTGCTCTTCAGGGGTTAAAGTAGTTCCTCCAGCAAAATATGGTGTTAGCTCAAGTAACCTTAAAATTGCAGCCGTCGAAGTGCAGAAACGACATTTTGACACAATTTTCATCTCGGACTGTTTTGTGAAATGCCAAGTGCACAAAGGTTAACTTGAGGTAATTGCATATTTTCAAACTGAATTCAAGAAATGCTACAAAAAAAGCGACACGTCATAAAAGCTGCGCTGCAATGTGAATACTATAAAGAGGTGTTTCTGCATTAACATCGCTGTATGATAAGCAAATAAACAATACTCATGTTTGACTAAAGACGATGAAGACTTATTGTTTGCATTTCTTTTTGTTGAAATTGAATTATTTGACTGTAAATCTAACAAAGCATCGATGCAGCAGATAAGAGTGTAATAAGTTATTTCTATAAAACACCTTTGCCATGATAGTATATCCTCTAATGTCACTGTAGTACCACTGTAGCTACTTGCAATGCTTTACATGACCGCAGTACTGTACTGTAATAAAATAAAGTGCACATGAGCCAGAGACTGTGAGGTCCTTTTGTTGTTGATTTATCACTGATCTCGGTGAAACTGCAGACTAAACATCCTGCACAAACACTGTATGTGTGGTATGTAAGGTATGCTGCAGCAGTGCTCATGTCTCTCCACTAGAGGACACTCCTTTCCATACAGTGGGAGGAGACCTGCTGGTTCAGCGCGGACCTTGTCTTCAGCTTTCGCAAACTGACAAGAGATTTAAAATACTATCTGATCAGAAATGATATTGTTGTAAATTCAGTCTGTTGCATTTATAACAAATGTTGTCAAGTTGCCCTCACACTGCCAGCCATTTCACTTCTCTCTCTCAGGTTTGATTCCAGGTTGTGAAATGCTGATTTACATTAATTTCTGCCCCAAAGCAAAATATAAAAGCATAGGCAGTTTTTCTGCTTATAGACCCAGGAGATTTGGTGCATTTCCTGTTAGACAGAGCATCTGTACACTCTCAGCAGCAGCTTTACATTGTAGGAATAAACAAGACTATAAATAAGACTTGAAAAGATGTCTGCAGTGATAGGAGAAGCATTAAGATCCCTCTGTGGAGTAGCAATACCACAGTGTAGAAACACTCCATTACAGGTAAAACTCATGCTTTCAAAATCTTACTAAACCTAAAGTATTAGCACCATCAATATATATTTGAAGCACCAAAGGTAGAGGCAGTCATTAGGCAGACGACCCATCCCAGAATTATATATGTTATAGGGGAGACTGGGTTTGGTTGTAACATTTTTTGCACCAGCATCTATGACTTCTGAAGTTGTGTGTTAGTTGTCTTGCTTTGGTCTGAATCAGGGACTCATTTCATTACAAAGTTGTATAATTGCCTAGAGTTGCTTCGTGTTCTCACAGCAGCATTTACAAGTCGACCAGATACATTTCCTTGCAGGAGAAAGCTGCTCTTGATTGGTCAGAATTCCCATGCAGGAAAAATCCAGGAAGTAAACCAAACGTTGAAGAAGAATACACTTGCAAGATAAATGTGAGACTTTCTAATGTCACAATGGAGGGACAACTACGCAGGTTGATTTTAGCGCTGCTCATCGTGGACTATATTGCTGTCATTGTTCATTTTAGTCAAACCATACAGTTTGAAAACGAGGCACGGCTCCAACTAGAAAACAATGTTTTGATGCATTGGATGTGCTGAATGTGCATATTAAGGCAGTACAGGAGGAGGTGCACACTAATAATCCACCAGGACTGTAACATGCTCATGTTTAACCCAAACAATGTGTCATGTGACTGCAGTTGGTTCAGATCCAGGTCGGAACACGTTCTCACCACAAAGGAACCGCACCAGAGTTCATTTGTAACTGGACCAAGACCACCTCTTCAAGAAGGCCTCAGTCTGGTTGTTCTGGTGCGCAACTGAGTGTGATTGCTGTGTTCACACCTACCTAAACGAACAGCACTTAGGGGGCAAACAAACTTGAGTTTGATTGAACCAAACAGAGCAGGTGTGAAAGCACCCTTAGAGCTCCCAAATTTTGACTCAAAGTACGATAGTATTCCCTGATGTCACTACAAGGAAATCCATTGATACAGTCTGCCAACTACTTGGGTGAGTTGTAACAATAAGATGAATAAAAAATTGCATAATTACTGCATGTTATTCCCCCTCTTCGTCTCCCCCATCACACCACAGCTGTCCCAAAAATATCTTTTTAAAAAACCTGATACATACACTAATAACAAAATCCTACTAAGGTCTAACTGGCTAACCTGTACCTTTCAGATGCTAAGTATCACATGGAGTGAGTCCAAAATACAAGTCTGCTGCCTCAGTTATGTAACCAGTCAATACTTCCTCTTGCTGCACACTGAAGACTTTCTGACTGCTGTGATCGCCCACACAGAGCAGCTGTGTTGATCCTTGTTCTCTTAAGTTTTGTAATTTCTTGCAGCATCTTCTCAGTGTCATATAGCAGAGAGTATCACATTACCTCTATCCTCCAGAACCTCCACTGGCCCCCTGTACCACAACAACCAGGCCCCCTCCTACCTCACTGACCTGCCCCAAGGCCACACACCTCCCTGCAGTCTCCGCTCCTCTGATGCCAACCTCCTGACTCCACCACTCAGGACCAAGTACCAGACTCTGAGGTGACAGAGCCTTCTCCACATGACTTTACTGTCTTTCTCTGCTTGACCTTGTGCCGTGCATGTTTTGATACGTGCACACCACTGTCAATTCTTTCTCACCAACTCTCCTGGAATGCTGAAAAAAGCAGTAAGATAAATAAAATGTTTTTATTTGTAATTAGGGGGTTAATTGTAACACTTAAAGTGGTTTCACAACCATCTCTGCCCCTGTCAGCCACTGTTTAGCTAGCTGTAGTAGCATGGTGGTTTGAATTTCGCATTGATAAAACAGTGTTCTGTACAATAATACAAGATACATTATTCTAACTTCAACAATATTCGTATAATTAAAATATAGACTAGGCCCAAGCATTACTTTCACGCCTGAATATCAGTGTTTTGGCTGTAAAATCTGTCTCACACAGCTACGAAAGAAAAAAAGTGGTCATATATGAAATTAATCTCAAGACTCTTCAATCATCCATTGTCGTTTAAAGTGGTCCTGTTACAACCATCCCGTTGTTACAACCATACCTGGTCTCCCCCATAACTGGATTATGATTAATGTGCTCATCACTTTAATATTTCAGCTGGTGACGGTGGAGCTAATTTCAAGTACTTTATAAAATAATGGGTAGTTTAATCCACAATAATACATCATAATGTATTACTAAATTTAGTGGAGTAGAAATGTAAAGTAGCGTAAAATGGAGATACTCAAGTACCCCAAAATTATACAGTATTTGAGTACTGTAAAACTTCAATTAAAAGCCTTTTGTCAATTATATGCCAAGTATCTTTTACTTGTCTGGTTGCCAAGCAGTTCACTTTTCTAGAAATTCTTTGGATGTATAAAACCAGATTTTTGACTGCTGATCACACACATACAAATATAAATGTTTAAACTGTTGTCAGTATGGAGATGCTACATATTGTTAGCTCAGTTCATTTCATTGTACTTAAACCATGTGCACCAGAGAAGACCCTTAGTCATTCAGAATATGTGTCCATTCCTTGATTACCCAGTAAGTTATTTATATCCCTTCAGTCTGTGAGGGTCCACTGATCAAAAGAATCAAAAGTGTTTTTCATAAAAATAATCCAAGTTTTGAATATTGTTTGAAGAGGTTAAAGTGGTGTTGTATCAATAATTCACATAACTGATATGTTAGTCGAAGCCTAATTTTTGTACAAATAATATTCATACTAGTTTAAATAAACAATTTGATCATTTTACCCATCTTTGCTGAGCAACAGTTTAATGTGAGAGGAATTAAAGGCTTGTCCCAAATATAATTCCTGTTGAGTTTAATGATAAATGCAAATAATAGCCCGGGCTACTAATTGAAGTTTTGCCATAATGTACTTAGTTACATAAGTTACAGGTTTGTTAAGACACACGCAGAGCAAGAGTCCTTATATTAAGCTTCCTTGAGTACTTTGAGATGTAATGGATTAAATGTGCCATATGATTAAAGTTCATAACACTCTGAAGGATTAATTGAATAGACTTTATTCAATGTGAAAGCAGCAGTCTCGTGCCCTCGGCCACTTACTGACAGGAGCATAATGAAAGTGTCCAGTGTGGTGACAAACACATATTTATTTAGCCCCTGGTTATTTATTCTCTTCTTCCTTTAATATGAAGTGAACCTGAGAGCAACCCGGCTGATCATTACTCATCGCAGACATGTTTGTTTCTTCAGGCCACACCTCTTCACATAATGATTAATTGGGCCAATCTTGACACCTATGGGTGCATCTACTGTTATCTCTCTCCCCAAGATCAATGCGAACAGTTATGCAATAGCTTTCACCTTATCGATCATTTGGGATGTGTAGTCATGCGGTTCAACTTTGCCAGTGTTAACGCAAAGGAGAAGACTACACATCCCAACAGACGGAGCGGCTCGCTGCTTCACTAGTTACACACTGAATGTAGTTCGCTGCACTTGGAAGAAAAATCCGTTCATGATTCACTTCATTAATAAATAAATAGTTCGGTGTCATGGCGGAATCTGCAGCTTGTCCTGCCTTCCAGCTCGGGAGACCTCGATACGAGCAGGTAAGTCTTCTTCATCTCCCGGTGAACGTGCATTAATGTGGCTTTTTGTTTTGCAGGCTTTGGGGGTGAAAAACAGCCCCATGCATCCTCCGCCCTGCTGCTGCTGCTGCTCCGCTCCGGCTGTTCTCATGCGCACACTTTGTAGCCAAAGTTGCTTTGATCTGCGCTCCGCTTCTTTGTTATCAAACCGCAACAACTTTGAGCTGATAATCAACTTCCGGGCGTGATTGCATGAGTTTTGAGCGTATTGTAGTTTTACTAGTAGAAAGAATCGTCTGTCGGCAGGTTCATATCGCTGTTTATCATCTCCACTGACAGATTTCACACCCTCTGCCTCGCTGCTGCTCCGTGAAAGATTATATCACACTGTTCAGGTTCTGCAGACAACACACTCATATCTTACGCGTCAATCTAAAGCCATTTATCCTTTAAAAGCGCCTAACTACATACGGTTTTCCCTCTTTTTCTTTTAATTTAGGCTTTAAAATCGCATCTGGTGAGATTTCTGATATAATATCTCCCACTCTGTGCATCACATTGAACGTTATCTAATCCATATCACACTTTAACACCCTCAAGTTTATTATTTTCCAGGATGCTTCCTGCAGACTGACTGTGGCCCCACATGTGATCGAGATTAATGGGCTGTCCATACTTATCTGAAGCCCATTACTCAATTTTCCGTCCTCACAAATGAATTTGCATTGGTCAGCCCTGGAAGATAATGTGACCTTCACGTTAACTCGGGTGGCACATTAACTGAGGAAGCTGCACGATGGTTACATTTAAATTTATTTCTTCAGAGCCATTCATTAAACTGCAGCCTGAAGGAAGTTATTCACAGGATGGTGCTGCACCGAGCAAGGTCCATATGCAGATTGTAAATAAGTCACTAAACTTTTTGATCTGCTGTTGTTTCAACTGATATGAGCGATCAATAAAACTCTTATCAAAATACATGGAAGAACTAAGGAAAGGGGTCACGGGGTCAAAGGGCTAATTGGGCCTGAGCCTCATTTTGGAGTGACACTTGTTTTATGTTGAAAAGTCATTCAGACTCCAAAGAACTGCAAAATGAGACACAAAACAACCACACAGAGATGCAAAACAACCATAAAGAGATGCAAAACAGCAAAAGAGAGATGTAAAATGGCTTCACAGAGACGTGAAAAACAACCACTGAAAAAAATAAAAGCAGCCACACTGGGATTCAAAACCACCACAAAGAGATACAAAATGGTCACAGATCCAAAACAGTCATACAGAGCTGCAAAATTTTCATGAAGAGCCAACACAACAACTACAATTACATGCAAAACAACCACAAAGACATGCAAAACAATGTCAAAGCGACCTAGTATGGCCAAAAAATGACTCAAAGCATCCACACAGGGATGCAAAACCTCCACATAAAGATGCAAATTGGTCAGAGAGATGCAAAACAATCATAAAGAGGTGCAAAACAACCAAATAGAGATGAAAAGTGGTCATTGTGGATCCAAAACAACCACAGAGACATGCAAAACAACTTCAATGAGATGTAAAGCAGCCACAAACAGACACAAAATAGACACATGGGGATGCAAAACATGTACAAAAGAATGCAAAATATGTTCCTGAATATTTGCAAAACAATGGTGCAGAGATGCAAAACCCCCAACAAGAGATGCAAAGCATCAACAAAGAAATGCAAAATGGCTTTAAAAAGATGCAAAACAGGTATGAAGGGACACAAAATCACCACAAAGAGATGCAAAATGGTCCCAGGGAGATGTAGAACAGTCAAACAGAAATGCAAAACGTCCAGAAAGAGACATAAAACAACTTCCAAGAGACACACAATGGTCATAGTGAAATGCAGAACAATCACAGACATGCAAAACAGCTAAGAGAAGTAAAATGGACTCAGAAGATGCAAAGCAGCCACATAGGATGCAAAACAACTGCAAAGAGAGGCAAAATGGAGAGATTTAATAATTCCAGAAAGAGATGCAAATTTGGCGCACTAAGGCGTAAAACAACCTCAAAGAGAAGTAAAATGGGCACAAAATATGCAAAGCAGCCACATAGGGATGCCAAACCACCACAAAGAGATGCAAAATTGTAGCAGGGACTCAAAATAATCACACAGAGATGCAAAATAGTCACATTAAGATGTAAAACAACCACAAAGATATGCAGAATGACCTTAAAGAGATGGAAAAAAACTGCCTCAAAAAGACAGTAAGTAGTCAAATAGGGATGCAAAACCAGCACAGTGAGATGCAAAATGGCCATATATTTCAAAATGTCCACAAGGATACACAAAACAACCACAAAGTGACACAAAATGGTCGATATTAGACACAAAACAACCACAAAGACATGCAAAACAACCTTAGAGATGTAAAATGGACACAAAAAGATGCAAAGCAGCCACATAGGGATGCCAAACAACCACAAAGTCACGCAAAATAATCACAGAAATGTAAAACGTCCATAAAGATACACTACAAAGAGACACAAAATGGATGTGATGAGATATCAAACAATCACGAAGATGTGCAAAATAACCTCGAAGAGATGTAAAATGGGCACAAAATTACGCAAAGCAGTCACATAGGGATGCTAGACCACCACAAAGAGATATATAACAGCCACAGAAAGATGCAAAGCAGCCACATAGGATGCACAACCACCACAAAGAGATGCAAAATGGTCACAAAGATGCAAAACAATTATACAGAGGTGCAAAATGTCAAATAAGAGATGCAAAGCAACTACAGAAAGATGCAAAATGGTCACAATGAGATGTTTAACACCCAAAAGACATGCAAACTGACTTCAAAAAGATGTTAAACAGCCACAAAAAGATGCAGATGTCCACAAAGAGACACGAAGCAGCTGCAAATAGATTCAAAATGATTACAATAGGATGCAGAACAACCACAAAGAAATGTAAAACAGCCTCATGGGGACGCAATGCAGCCATATTGGGACGCAAAACAACCACAAGGAGATGCAAAATGGCCACAAAGAGCCAAAAAATGTTGTTGTTTTGTGTCTCTTTCAGTCTGAGGGTTTCACACTAATGTAGGAGTGGTGTTTTTTTCATAATTGGTCCATGAACCCACGAGTTAACACAGGATGTTGCACGGTTCACGGTTCAGGCCTAAATAGCAGTTCATTTACACCCTTTGTCTCAGGCGAATTGCTATTTTTTTGAGCGATTGCCACCACATCTTGTTTTAGATCACCATAATTTAAAGGGAGACAGTCATTAAGCCTTGGTTTCCAGCTCCTATTAATGATGGCTTTCAGTGGGAAGTCTTTTCAATCTGACCCCCATAAACCCTTGTGTTGTTCCATCTGCAACCTGAAGTTCATGTCGCTTTGATAAAGGTCCTGTAATACTTTCAGTTCCTTGCGTCAAAGCAGTTAAAATTAGGCCAGTCTTTGAATCAGCATAAATCTAGCTCAGTTCGTCTGTGCTTTCTGCCGCGCTCTGTCTCTGCTAGCCTTGTTGTGTACTCTCCAGGGAGCTGAAACTCATGCATAATTAAAGCGGGCTCCTCACATGGATCCTCAGTCTACCCCACTCTTACAAAACAGCACTGCAGCACATATGGCCTGTCAGAGGAGGAGACATGTGATGGAGGAATGGCAGAATATCCAGGGTTACAGTGCAGAAGAGATGCTTTATTTACAGTCGTTAGAAGGACTGGATGTTGTTTCCAGTCATTTCAATTAGACCCTGATCCGAACAGATAATTAAAATACAGAAGGGTTTGTCTTTCCACTTTTCTGCCCTTCATAACTGATAAATGTCTCGGAGGGAATCCGATTGAAGCTGCCATGTTTTCGCCCATCTGGTTTGCCAAAGAGACTCTTGGCATAAATTGCTGTTGGGCCTTTTCAGACTGCTGGCACACATACTTAGCAATTGGCATGCTGATGAAGACAGTGAAGGGAACAGGAAACAGGGTGCTTACCCAGCAGCTCCAAGCCTCACTCTGAGGAATGTGTTTGGTAAATGTAAACTTACTCAGATGGTTAGTATGTTTGCTTCAAAGTTCATCTCAAAAGGCGGATTTACTTTCTCATCTCAGTTGTGTTTGTCACATTGTTCTGTGAGGAGGCAAAAACTTTGTCATCTTTTTTTATTGAGCATTTAACAGTTTGGCTTTCTTTGTTCGAAGTATACGTTTATTAAATTCTGATTAACATAGCAAAGATTTGTGCATTTGTAGATCCTTGACCTTTAAGAAGAGAATCTAAACTCAAAGGTCCTTTGACGAATGGTTCAAAGCTTCCAACCTCATCTCACTGTCTTCTTTCAGTGAACAGAGAAAGCAAGAATTAATTGTCCAGCATGAAAATGTAAACATACAGCAATAGTTTGACATTTGAGGAAGTCCACTTATTCTTTTTTTGGCGATAAAATTGATACCACTCCCATGTCTGTGCTGTAAATACAGTCAGCAGTAGGTTAGCTTAGCATAAAGACTGGAAACATCGGGACACACTTGTCTAGCTGTAGCTTTGTATTTACAGTACAGATATGAAAGTGGTTTCAATCAAGAAGCAAATAAATGTATTTCCTAAATTGCTGACCTTTTCCTTTAACAAACAAAAGTAATTACAGTTAATATTAAAGTAATAATCCTAAAGATTTTCCCTGTTGAGGTAACACATAAGTGACCGAGCCTATGGCCCATCAATAAAAGCACTTGCATTTGCAGTTTTACGAACTGGGTGTCTGTGGCGACATCCCTGGGAAAAATCACAAGTGGTGCACAGTGTGTGACCTGTTTTCCATCACCCAGCAGTGGCTGGCCCGCCGTACAGGTTCGACGGAGCTAACATAACAGACTTGTTCCTCAACCTACTCGTATGTGAAGTGGCTTACTGTTTTTTTTTGTGTTGGGGGTAAATGTTTGCCATGGCCAAGAAAAATTAAAGCTACAAGCAGTGATGATGAACTTGCTCTTGCACCTCTGTGCATCTCATTAGAATGACCTGTTTTACATGTTGCACCACTTTCTGTGTCCACTATGTGGCGCTGCAGAACACATTGATTACTTGTCATATTGTTGTTCATCAGTTGTAGATCCCACCATGTAAATTTCACGTAAACCAAAAGATAAGTGTCTGAAATGATGTACTTCCTGTTGCCAGAGGGTTGGGCAATCACCATGACACCTAATTTGCATGTTGATGGCTTCAGGCTTGGAGCTTCATAAAACCTGTGAAGTTTGGGGCAGATTGGACAAGGTACACAGAAGTTATAACATCTTCCTGTTGAAACCTGGAAGTTTGACGCCTCGCCATGGTCACAAGGTTCAACGAAAACTCAAGCTTTAAGCGACTTTTGATGTGGAAGAACTTTAGATGAGGAGTTTGTTAAAGTACGCCCCCTGGATATGACCAGAAACTACGCATTTATTTCAAAATGGCCAACTTCCTGTTGGGTTTAGGGCACCTGTGTTCAAAGAAGATCTCAAATTAGATTAAAGATAGTACCATTCGCCATAGGCTATATGCCCTCAAAAATGCAAATCCATCTCTGTCATGGTTTTCCTTTCTTTTCTTTTTGTTGCCTATGTCAAGTCTCTATTTGACCATATGACAATACGATATGATACGGTAGCTAGTTTACGTGCACAATCTGTTAAGACTGACCACCTTACACCACTGGGCAGAACGTTACATATGTTAAACTGTGCTTTATGTGACATTATAAATACCTAAATGCCACTTTCAAATAACCAATGAGCAACACACAAAGAAATGTTTTTAGGAACTTTAGGACTACTAAGAACCAAGTCAAGCAAAGTGAGAAGTGATGCATAAATTTTCAGAGGACTTGTGAAATGATTCATTCACAGAGGGGAGGATGTTGGACTGTCATTATGTGTCTGCTTTCATTAAGAGTTAACTTTGTCATACTGTCTCTTCCAGGGTTCATTCCTTGGTCGACTGAGACACTTTGTGGACATCATTGATCCCAGCACCCTGTTTGTGTCTGAGGTAAAAAAAAAAAAAAGAAAGATATAAAGCTGTCTATAGGTGGCTGGTGAATGTTTTCACAGTATGGCTTCAATTGAAAGTTTGAGCTTCCATCCATTACAGTGTCATAGACAACAGTATATATATTTGTAGAGCTGAAATGATGTGTCAGTCAACTCTTTATAAAGACTTCCTCCAGTGGAAAAAAACAGGTAATCAATCTGTGTGTTAATGTGTGGTCTGTAAATTAAAACACCTTCCACAAATATATATATATATATATATATATATAAATAAAAGTTAAGTCACAAAAATACAGTGCAGGTATAAAACGGGTCTGCAAATAAACAAATTCTGAAAAAAAAAATCTGTGAATAGAAAAGTATTTGTGAAAAATAATAATAATATTAATAATAATAATAATTTGTAATATATTCTGTAGGTACCTGTTTGAAAGTTGGATTTCAATTCGACATTTGTGGATTTACATTTTACACACGCAGAGTTTTGAGACAAACTTTTCTGTCAGTGTGAATGGAAATCCAGTTGTATCACTTGGTTGGTATGTAATCGCCAGCTGATGACGTAATTTCCACCACATTTCTGCAGAGTCAGTTTATATTTGCAAAATATTTTAGTGAGATTACAAATCTTTTTGTTAATATTTGTGGAAGGTTGTTATATTTCTACAGACTACACATTAACACTGGGATCCTTAATCTGTTTATAAAGATAATATTGAGACAAAAATAACTCCATAAACTCGAGCTGCAGGTGAGCAACTGAGGGGCGGGGAATTATTTACATATTCATAATAATATAGTATATTCAAAACATAGAGTTACAACCAGACCATTAAAGGCATAAAGGTTTTTTTTTCTTTAAAAATACTCCTAAATATGTAATTTTACTGAACAGCGATGAGTTTCTAGGGTTTTAATTTATGCCAGGAGAGAAAATGCATGAATTGATTAATCAATAATGTTCGTTTTTTTCCATGACTTTGTGTTTCCAGCCTCTCATACGTATGTTACTGTTTCCTCATTAATTTGCCTTCCATGATAGTGAATTAAACATTTTTGGGTTTTGATCAAGATGTCATATCAGGCATGGGAAGCATTTCCACTATTTTCTGACATTTTAAAGACCAAACAATTAAATAATACATTTATTTTTAAATTTATTTTTAACATTTGAGAACTTTTGCTCACCAGAACAACAATCCGTCTAATTAAGCTTCACATTTTTCTCTTCCTTTGTTTGTAGAAAAAATTGAAAGAATGCATTAAACTACTTGATGACTATAAACATGGAGAGCTTCCTCCTGGAGTGTCTGATCTTCAGGTGAGTCTTCATCAACACTATTGTGACACAAGACAGAATATGCAAGAAACATGGTGCACATTACAGAGTATTGTCGTGTAGTACAGAGAGAACTGGACCCAAAAGCGTGACTCAGACAGCTGTTCAGTTTAAAGTGTCTTGGGTTGATCCAGGGCACTCTGGAGGAACAGGGCAGGCAGGCTGAGCAGGGCTGGAAACAGGTTGGGCAGGCTGGAGTGGAGGGCAAACGGGTGACCGCTGAGTGTGGAGCTACAGCGCTGTGCTGTCCAATCAATAACTGATATCCAATCAGGGGGTGAGTTGGTTGATAAAAGACATCTGTGAAGCCTGCACTCGTGTATCCTTGCTTCCCTCTCCTCTAAAAGCCTCCTCTCTCCTCGATTCCTTCGAGCGCTTTTAACGAACGAGTCTCAATTGATTTCTGGATCAAGTGATGGAGGACAGAGAATAGAGGAGTCGAGGAGGGATATTCGGATAAACAAGAAAAAAAGGGGAGGGGGGGGGGACAGCTGACGCATGAGGAATGAAGGAAAGGCACAGACTATGACAAGTATGTAGTGACAGTGGACTAAATAAAGTCGTTGCAAAACACACAATTATCATAATGAAATGGCAGTTTATTTACGCCTCTAAAGCAGATGCAAAACAAGAGTATCGTAAACGTAATAACTACTTATAGTTCTTCTCTTGCAGCTGTGGGAAGCCCAGAAGATCAAGCAGGTAAGTGATTCATCAGTCATCCCTGTAAGTCAGGCTCAGGTTAACTGCACCTCCATACATTCAAGCCTCTGGGCGCCTGGCAGCATGAGGATGATGTCATGCTCTCTGCACGCAGGCCATCATTCATCCTGACACAGGAGAGAAGATCTTCATGCCATTTCGAATGTCAGGTACGACCTCAGATGAAGATCTTTGCTGCAGTTGGTGAACTTACGTCCATTTTGTCCTCATTTTTCTTTTCTCTACGCTGAAAATCATTTCTTCGCTGTGCAGGTTATGTCCCATTTGGAACACCGATTGTAAGTCTCATATAAGACTCATACATTTTAAATCATGGCTGTGCTGACGTCCATTTACTGTACATGGTCGTGTTTGGGGACAGATGAAATGAGACTTTGGACTTATTTTGCCCCGAAAATAAGCTCTTATTCCCTGGTCTCATCTAGGTCATTGGCCTTCTTCTCCCAAATCAGACTGTGGTGTCTACCATTATATGGCAGGTACTGTAAAACACAACATACTGTAAAACCATTGCATTTATTGTACATGCTGAACATCTGGTAAGCACACTTTTATTGTGCACATGCAACGCTCTCCCACCTGTTTACACTGGGATAAGGACATGGTAAAATAAAGTGCTGCTGCTCTGGTTGCTTCTCTCTGTGTGCCATGGATTTATAAAGCAACAAATAAGCAGCCGAATATCTTTATCTATCCTTCCTTTCCTTTGTGTTTCACTATTCCTTTTCATCCTGCTTTCCTTTCCTCCCTCCATACTCCTTCTATCCTTTGTTCATTCCTTTTAACTGTTAACTCTTCTTTCCTTCCTTCTGTCCTACAGTGGCTGAACCAGAGTCACAATGCCTGTGTCAACTACGCCAACCGTAATGCCACAAAGGTATGTACTGTGGATATTCAGATCTATTTATTCAGAAAATTACAGTATTTGTTCATTTTTTTTATTAATTTATCCCCATAATAGAATATAATGTGTTGTGTTTTTCGCTTCAAGACATTTTTTCTGCAATAAAAGACCATTCAAAGGCATTAAATCCCCAAATTTTACTATAGACAGTAAACCATACACAAAGCTTTGACACAGAATTTATTTTCCTCCCTCAGCCTACGCCAACATCAAAGTTTGTTCAAGGCTACGTGGGAGCTGTGACCAGCGCTGTTTCTATTGCAGTGAGTGTGTTTCTTGTGTAGTTTATATCCTCCAAAATTTGATTTGAGAAGGAAAAGGAATACCTCACCCACCAATAGATCATTTGTGTTCCAGTTAATGACCCCATGTTACGTTGAGCTTCGTGAAGAAAGCTTTGTTTTTCTTGCATGCCTCTGGTGAACAAAGAAAACAAAAATGGAGAATCTCATTGATGAATTGAAGTCATAAGGGTCTGCATTTAACAACAGCCTCATTGTAACAAAAAGTTTTTACCAAAAGCAAAATTTGTTTGTTTTAATACATTTTTGTGTGATTTATTCAAGACAAACCTGTTGTTATGTTTCTTCTACTCATGTTTGTGTGTACCAGGTGGGACTGAATGTCCTGATTCAGAAGGCCAACAAGCTGAGTCCTGCCACCAGAATGATAATTCAGAGACTGGTCCCCTTCCCAGCTGTCGGTAGGTTTCCAAAGGACCCCGTGTACCAGTTACAACAGAGGTCTACTGATGTGGCCCTCTGGTGGCTGGAGTCAGTTTTTCTTCTTAAATTTTTCTTTCTTCTAAATCTCAAATTACAGAGCTAGTGACTTAAGGTACAATTATTATTACTTTTTTTTTTAAACATGCAATAATTGGTGCAATAATTCAACTGTCCAATATTTTTAACACCTCTTGAATGTTTATATTTATTTAACATATAATGCACATAACAGTACGTACTTCTTATGTTTATTCTTATTTCTATCTTTATTCCATTGATGTATATATTGTAGTAACCATTATAGCATAATATATATTTTATATTTCTGAGTGTAACACAGGTTTATACAGTGTAATGGAGCACAGTGCACATAGTCGTTTATTTTTACACACTTACAGACTCAGCACAGTGAAGAAATATGTTATTCTTAATATCTTAAGTACTAGTGTTAAACATTGTAGCATAATGTGCATTTTTATTTCTGTTTTATTGTATTTTTTACTTTATATTTACATACATCTATTTTATACTCCTATCCAAACTTCTTATAATTCTCTATTCTTTACATCAAAATGTAATATCACACTTTCCCTTCAGGAATCAGTAAAATCTTCAGCATCTTGTCTTGTGGACACATATTAAATTATAAAAGCTGCTTTTCTCTCCGCGTCCTCAGCCAGTGCAAACATCTGTAACGTGGGCCTGATGAGACACAATGAGCTCTCTGAGGGAATCGATGTTCTGGACAACAACGGGAATGTGGTGGGATCCTCCAAAATTGCTGCGAGACATGTGAGTGCCTTTTTTTGCACGCTCAGCAGACTTGATACTCGACTGCACTGAATGTGTTTATACACTTGCTGTGTGGTTTTTTGTTTTTCTTTTCAGTGAATTGCATTTTTAGGTGATGGCGGCTGATAATGGGAAAATGCATCATTTCCTGCTCGGCTGCTGTCACTCAGCACACATCTGATCTCATGAAAGAGAAAATTAAATCCAACTCGCTGCAGTATTTGAAATGAAGCATGTGCACAATGTTCTCATCTTTTCCCCAGGCGATCATGGAGACCGCCTTCACACGTGTGGTCCTCCCGATGCCGATCTTTGTCCTGCCCCCCATCATCATGTCCTACCTAGAGAGGTTTGTACAGAAATACTGTTTATTGTCAGCCTTTTTTTAATATCTAACACTACAAGTATCAATCTACTGATTGTTTTCTTAATGAATTGATTATCTTTTGGTCTGTAAAATGTCAAAATATGAAAAATACCCATCATAACTTCACAGAGCCAGAGCACACATCTTTAATGTCTTATTTTCTCCTAGCAACAGACCAGCTGTCTACTTTCATCAAGGACTAAAACAACTAGAAAATATTCACATTTGAGAAACTGGAACAAGTTTCTTCATTTTCACTTAAACATTAGGCTACTTAACAAACTAAAGAAACGTACCTAAAAGCAGCTCTAATTTAGCCTTTGTATGCAGGTACATTCAGACATGTATGGGTACTTATTACTTTGCATTAATGAGACATTAGTCAGAAAGAAAATACAGACTGCAGTAATGGTTCTCAACTTTTCTGGTCGTCTCTTTAATCGATGTAATGTGTGTTTGTAATCTGTCCTATTAATAAGGGATCTTTGTTTTTAATTTACTTTTAAATACTTAAAGAATAGAAAGAGTAGAAAACATAGGATACATGAGCAAAGCAAACATAATTTTGTGTGACAGAAATGTTTTTACCTGCTGTTGGTATTGATTTCACCTTGTGAGTCAGTGTGTGTGTATTTGTGTGTCATCATGATGAAACCCACTGCAGTATGAACTACCACAGAAGCTATTTTGAGTATTTTGCCAGGTGTATATATGTCTGTCTGTGGACAGATTTTGTCACTGCAATAGTGTCATAATTGTGCAAGATATAGTCATGAAACAGAAAGAAGGGGGGGTAGGCAGTAGTGAAGGGGCCATTGCCCCCTATCCCAATTTTACTTGCCTTGCCCACATTTGTTTTAAGTCGCAGATCGCATTGCAAGATGGTCTAGTGATCTAGTTTTTTCTTTAGCTGGTTTTCACCCCATTGTACCATCATGAAACTGATGTAAAAATACCAAAATATAATAACTCATGAATGTTTTTTGAAGGCAGTTGTGGACTGTGAAGCATTTTATTTGATTCTGCCCTTAAACAGCCAAACACAGAACATAATGACTTAAAGGTCCAGTGTGTGGGAGTTAAGGGGATATATTGGCAGAAATGGAATATAATATTCACAACTATATTTTCATTAGTTCATAACCATCTGAAAGTAAGAACCGGTGTGTTTTGGTTTCTTAAAAAGAGACGTTTATATCTATATACTGAGCGGGTCCTCTTCCACAGAGTCCGTTATATTGTTTCTACAGTAGCCCAGAATTCCACTCACCTTTTGCATCGACCGCTGTTGTTCTCCTTCACACTTGGCACATGGAAGAAGTTTCAATTGGTTGCAATCTGCAACCTCACCACTAGATGCCACTAAATCCTACACACTGGACCTTTAAGACCAGAATCTGACCTCTTGACATTTGTTTTATCAAATAAAATATTGTTATGCCACAGACATGTACAGTCTCACAGTAAACTGAGTGTAAGTTAGCAAAACTGAATAACTAGACCAAAGCTAACACGTTAGTTAAAGCTACCTGGTGATTTAGTGTTAGCTAAATTTATTTCCTCTTTCCTGTAACTGAAATATAAAATTTGACGGTTCAAAATATCAGTAATGGGTGGCACAGTAGTGCAGTGATTAGCATTGTTGCTTCACAGCAAGAGGGGTCCCAGTACGAATCCAGGGTGGGGGTTTGAACCTGGGGTGGGGGAGCCCTTCTGTGTCAGCGTGGGTTTTCTCTGGGTACTCCAGCTTCCTCCCACAGTCCAAAGACAGGCAGGTTAATTGGTGACTCTAAATTGTCTGTAGGTGTGAATGTGAGTGTGAATGGTTGTCTGTCTCTATGTGTCAGCCCTGTGATAGTCTGGTGACCTGTCCAGGGTGTACCCCGCCTCTCACCCAGTGAAGAGCTGGGATAGGCTCCAGCCCCCGTGACCCCCAACAGGATAAGCGGTTACGGAAAATGAATGAATGAAATCTCAGTAATTCATGTTTGTAAATGAGGCAGTAGCTAAATCCAACCATGACAAAAAGTAATGACAGCTATAACTCAGCCCCCGGCATCCTAAAGGTTTGAAGGATTTTCTACATCTTTGGCTCAAATTTCCTTTTCCTCTCAACTCCTTTCTCGAGTTATTGCTCCGTGTCTTTGTAGGGCAGAAATGTTTGTTTGACTCTGGTCTAAAAATACTCTGTTTCTCTGTGTGCAGAAGCAGAGCCGACATATGTTGTGCCCCAAAGTGCTTCTCATACATTCATTCAGTAGTAGGTCACAGCCAAAGAGAATGTGAAGATGAACAAATGAATGAAATGTGATAATATAGCCTACTGTGGCTTTACACACAAGAAGAAAGACCGATATGTGCAGTCTGGCTCATTAAACCTAGAGTTGGAACTTCAACGCAGACAGATTAATCTCACACCCACTAATTGTGCAGAACAGCTTCCCGAAATCTGCACCATGTCTTTTCTGCAGATCCAAAAATAACTCCTGGCTTGCCAGTAGCCTAGTCTTCTGGAATCGATCCACACAGCGTGCTCACGTTTCCTTTTTATCACTGTCTTGACTCGTGTAGGCTGCGATTCCTGCAGAGCAACCGCAGATTGTTGCTGCCCATCCACAGCCTGGTGTGCCTGGTTACCTTCGGCCTCTCGCTGCCCGTAGCCATCAGCCTGTTCCCCCAGATGTCTCAGGTACAGTAAAATGTCGGTCCAACTGCTTCCACTGCTAATTCGAGGCCAGATGGCTCAGATGGAGAGCAGCTGGCAAGAAATTCAAATTACACATACACTACTTGACATGCACAGCCGCGGCCCACAAGCTCATATTCACCTCTTATTCCAGATGTCTCCTCCCCCCTCGAATTAAAACTCAGACCGCTGAAAGAGTCAGAGAGACGCAGAGCTAGAATTTACCTTCCGTCTTTTTGTTTTCTTTTTGCAGATTGAGGTGTCTCGCCTAGAGCCTGAAATCGCCATGGCAACAGATTGCAAGGTGGTGACCTACAACAAGGGTTTATGATGGATGGCTTGGTGTGGGAGCGGGGAGCAGAGGACAGAGGAGCGAGGATAGAAATGAGGCTGCGTTGTGAATAGCTGTCGGGGAGAACCTACAGTGGGGTTCCTCCTGTCGACAGGTTTGGGAGTCGTTCTGCTGCAGTGTCACAGCGTAGTCTGTAGACCGTCACGTACTAACACAGGGTTTTTTTCTATGGTTCTCAAGATCCCAGCAATTATTGAGTCGAGATCTGAGGATGGGACAGATTTTATTCTGTCCTCTCTGTTTTCTGTACATAGAAATTATATATTTACTGTGTTTTTTTAGTATTAATGAAATAATTTTAATATATATACAAAACAGTGTTTGCCACACACTGGCTAAGTTATGGCTGCTTTTTCACACAATGAAAAAGGGTTTATAAATACAGTTTAAACCTGCAATAACTGAACTTCTGGGTCTTTGGCCACTGAATACTTCACTGTGTTCAGCAGCTGGTTGCTAACTGTGTCTGTCTTGATCAGGTAGTGCACGGTAGTTTTTTAGAGCTTTTTCACTGGCAAAAAAACCTCTCTAAAGAGACACCCCTTCGAAATGATATCACTCGATTGAATGATTGTTATCAGTGGTTATCAGCCTTATAAATATAAGTTGGAGGGAGCTGCTACACCTACTAGAAGGTAGGTAGGCTCAGAAGGCCATCATCAGCAGTGTTGGGGAGGTAACTAGTTAAATCTAATTAATTTACAAAATAAATATAAATGTAATCGGTTACAGTTGCTGAGAAAAACTATGTGAGTCAAATACAGTTACTAATTGTTATCAGCCCATTAAATGGTCGTTATCAGTTGTCATCTGGAGCAGTTTTGTTAGGTTTCGCTTTCATTAGATTTAATGGAGCAATGCCTGCGAGCTAGTTCAGGCAGTCAGCTGATGCACTGATTCATACACACACGTCATACATCACTCTCCATATGTCATCTACAAACACACCCTCCCAATTTAGCGGGCTGTTTAAGCTGAAAAATCTTCCCAGCTCTCCCTTTGCACTGCCTATGCCGCTGCTGCTCTACAACAGTACTGGTGCTTGGTCTTTCAGCCCCACCTCCACTCCAGCATCCACCTGCAGGCTCTGGCTAAGGGGGGGATATTTAATAATCACTCTCTAATATCTCATGTAAGTATATCTGCCAGGAGCGATAAGACTGGAGTCTAGACACCAAACTCTAACTATGTTCTGCTGTTGAAATGAACATTTAAAATGTGAGTTGTCTGACAGAACTAAGGTTGTGGTTAGGTTTAGAAAACAATTATGGTTCTGGGTGAAAATAAGTATGTTTGTAATGTGACATGACATGATGAATTTACAAAGGTCTGTTGAAATAAGTTAATGAGACACAAACAGCGGCCTCCTGGGTGAAAGTCCTGTATTTGTTTGACTGACCCATCCGTCTTATGCAACCTCCTCCCAACAGAGACTTTAGCACTATTCAGACAGGATTAGTTTTACATGGGCACGTGGGGTAATGTCACTTTTACCACAGGACGTCGGTAATATTAATGGCCAATTCGCACGGGATAAGAAATATCAGTAAAACTACCACAAGTGGGAGGGGTAAATCCATTCACGCACCGCTGTCCCCTCCTGTCGTCATGTGCGTATGATGTTGGTTCCTGTGCGTACCACACTCCTTCCAGGCAAAACATTATTATTATTATGAACTGATTAGCCTACTGGTTAATTTTATTGTCATTTTTTTACTAGCCACATAGCCCTGCTACATTGCATACTTAACTTACCTAAAGCAAGTCGTAGGCCCACAGTACCTGAGGTTTCACATGGACTTGTCCAACTGTGAAGTGCAAAACTGAGTGCCTCTTCAAGAGCCTCCATGCTTGAAAGTCCGCGAAAAAAACCACTTGTCAACAGGATGTGACAAAATATCTACACACATATTTACTGCTGGTCTATTCACACGGGATTAGTATTACCTGAGGTAATTTTCTGGGACCCTTTTACAGAAGGTAAAAGTCGCGATCTTTACTGACATCGTGTGGTAATAATTACTGACATGGCACATTCGGACGGGACTAAAATCTCTGGTAATTATTACTTTACCCCACGTCCCTATGTAAAACTAATCCCGTCCAAATAGGGCTTTTGTCACTCTTAAAGGGAAATTTCGGTTTATTTCAACCCGTCTCCTATTGTCCTAAATTTGTTTCAAGTGACTAGTGACATAGAAATAATAGTTAGCATGTTAGCCGTTAGCCTAGATACAGCCGTAGCGTCAGACCTGTTAAAATGTAAGTGAACGGGCATCCTTTCAAGTGCAAAGTTAACCCGCAGCCGAAATATCACGAAAACAAGCAGCGATTGCATAGCGTGCCTGAAATCTCGCGAGGACAAGCAGCAACAGCTGGAAGGCAGAACCGGACAGTAGCCTGAAAAGTTCATTCATTTATTTTATGAAAGATTTATAGAATAATGGCAGACTTTTTGCCAGACTTCGACTTTGTGGAGGAGGAATTTGATTTTGCAGAGTTTGATGGCCGCCCTTATTTATTTGAGCCAGAATACACTGATGAAGAGCTTCGTGAAATTGAAGAACGGAGGAGGAGAGAGAGAGGCGCAACAGGTAGAGGACGAGAGAGGAGGAATGGCTGCTGCAAGGCTGCGTAGCTCTGGAGATTGGTGGTGTACCTGTGAATGCTGTGCCCCAGTGCCCACAGAAGAGGAATGCCTCTGTTGCAAGGAATGGGACCGGTTGCAGCCTTATTTTCAAGGTCTGGATGTGACCGAGGACGAGACACCTCCACCTGGAGTAGTATCCAGCTGGGCTTTATCTAGAGCTGGCGAGATATATTTCTGCCGCGCTTTGGAAAGCAGAGCTAGATGGTAAACAAACATGGCACCACACCGGTAAGGTAAGACAACACGTTTACATGTCGTTTTCTATATGTTCTCTGACATTTATCCTAACGATATGAGGCAGTCTTTGTGGAAAAAAAAATAATTAAAAGAAAAAAATTAAAAATAAAAGGATGCCCGTTCACTTACGTTTTAACAGGTCTGATGCTACGGCTGTATCTAGGCTAACGGCTAACATGCTATTATTTCTATGTCACTAGTCACTTGAAACAAATTTAGGACGATAGGAGATGGGTTGAAATAAACCGAAATGTCCCTTTAATAGTGCAACAACTGACTTTCTCCCTCACTCCTGTAATAATTACTACGGCCACTAGAGGTCATAGCCCAACAAAAAAACATTTATGGGGCTGATAACAGATTTTAGCAATAACCAGATACGGGATGCCAAGAAGGTGCCTATTCATTCCAATGGAGTTGCTTGCCTGGCGCGTACGCCAAAAATGTTTTCTAGCTTCAAGGTTTACTTTTACAGTATGCAGCCCACTGAATATGCACAGTGGTGTTCCTTCTGCTTTTTACAGAAAAAATATATTCAATGTAATATCTTTGCAATCACAACCATTTTGATAAGTAACTGAATATTAATCACATATTTTTTTCTCAGTAACTGTAACTGATTACAATTACCTTTATTTTGTAATTTAATTGCATGTAACTCCATTACATGCAACAAGTTACTCCCCAACACTGCTAATGACAGATCTCTGAACCTACTAGTAGGTGCAGTAGGCTCATTCTATACAAGGCTGCTAACAACTGATAACACCCATTCAATGGAGTGATAACATTCAAAGAGGGTGGATGAAAGCTGTGAGAATAAAGAACAGAACTGACTGTGGTACTAAACAGAATCAGGTTAGTCACTGTGAGTTAATAATCTAACATTAGATTTATATTTATTTTAACTCAATATATCTTAACTCATAAAAATTAAGTTGTATCTACCTGTGTCTCCTTATCACCATTTTTTTTAAATATATATAAATGGTAACTCTAAGATTAGAACCATTGTTTTAAATCTGCAATTCTGCAGCTCTTTCTGATTTTGGGGCATTTTTTTAGTCCAATACTGGATTTTTGAGGCTGGTAACAGGTTATAATATACAAGCCAATATTAATTTTTTTTCATAAACCCATTAAATACACAAACATGTCTGACAAGGATCTTTTAGATTCGGTATATAAAGAATTCTGACCAAGATACAGTTTGTGCTGAGCCATTTTACAGTCGCACAAAAGCCCCATCAGCCCCATCAGCCCTCTTTGCTGGACTGCTGTGAATTATATTTTCTGTGCTGCAGAATATGCTGATCCTGATACATCTGCAATAAGATAATGTTGGCTGATATTTTGGCACAGTCCATTATCGATCAGGCTCTATTATCAGTGGGAGACACGGCAATAAATATCAACATACTGTACAAGTGTCATCCAAACATGTGCTGATTATTCTGAATAATGAGGAGAAATGCTGATGAGGGAATTGATCATTATACATTAATAATATTGCAGATGTGAAGCCTCTCTGTCGGTGGCTGTGTGTGTCTGAGGGTAAATATGGAGACTGTACTGTAGATGTTTATTAATTTTCACACTGTTTATCACATGTCGGGGGTTTTAAAACTGATAATGTGAAACAACATACAGAACTCTGCTGTCTGCACATTTTATTTTCCACAGTCGCCAAACACTGTACACTGACGTCCTCTCTGGACTTGTAGGAAGGACATTTGCCTCCACTGCTGACTGTTTCTTAAACACTACTGTATTCATTCCTAATGACGTCTTTTGTACAATATTTGAACCATGAAAGTATAAGCTATATATTATACTACTGATGATGAACTAGTATTTTTAATTCTTTGTATACTACTTCTACAAGTTTATTAAATGTTTGCTAGTCAAACAATGTAAAACTATCTATATTATCTAAAAAATATATAATGAATAATAAATACTCCTTTCTCTCTTTGCTTTGTTTTGTGAGAAGTTTTGTGGAAAGTTTATTTACATTTGTTTTTATTTGCTTTTATAATTGACACTGATTTAGTTTCCATATCACAAAATAGGCTATGTGCCATGTGACCCCCCCCCCCGCCCCCCGCATTACCTGTATTAATATTAATTTTAAGTATTTATTACTGTTGCACCTCATTATACATTATTTTTCAGAGTTGAAATGATTAGTCAATTAATTGATTAGTTGATTATTTAGATAATTATCTGCAACTTTTTTGATATTTGAGAAATATTTAAGTTGTTTTTCCACATTGGGTGATGTTCCTTTGGTATTCAGAAAATTTTAACTGTTCTCTAAAATTTAATTTAACAAAGCTTCAAGAAAATAATCAACATGTTTAACAAATGATGAAGGCAATAAGCAATGATAAAATAAATAGCCCACCAAAATTGCAAGAAATAAGTAAAAAGACAACATTAAAAACAAGAAAACAACAACATTTGACAAAAAAAAAATATACAAAAAAAAAAAGAAGAAGAAGAAGAAGAAGAAAGAAAGTTAAAACAAACAAGGAAATGACCCGGAAAAGGTGCTTAAAAATCATAATAATTCTGTAATTATAAAAATTCATAATAAATCATAATAATTCTGTACAATAATTCTATAAATTTAAATATGTAATAATAGCGATAATAATAATAATGATAATAATAATAATAATAATAATATAGTTTTCCCCTTGTTTTTCCCTGTCTTTATAAAGATAATTTTCGAAATCTATTTTTTTTTTTTTCCAATTTGTTTTTGCTTCCCATGTTTTAGAAAGAAATTGCACAGGTAAAGGTGGAGCTAATTTCATTTACTTTATGTACTGCAGGGTAGCTTGGATAGTGTAATCATAATATATCACAATTTATTTGATAATTATATTTTTTAATAATAATCTAAGTCTATAAAATAACTAGTAGACCTAACTAATATGCAAAATGTATTTAAATTCCAAAATGTAGTAATGATAGTAATAATCATGCTAACTTTTTTTATACAGCACAATTCATGCATAAAATGCAACACAAAGCACAGAACATAAAAGACAAAACATTTGTGATACAGGGAAAAAAGATGGTAAAATAATAGAATAAAATGATAATAAATAAATAAATAAATAGATAGATAAATAAATTAATAAAAATAAAATAATAAAATAAAAGATAAAATAAATTTATGTTATAACCACAGGCTAAGATAAGATGAAACAGCCATCAGTTAAAAATACATTTCAGGAGAAAGCAATGGTAAAAAGATGTGTCTTAATATTATGTTTAAAAGCAGATGTAGAGCCACTACGATCCTCAGGCAGATTGTTCTAGAGTTAAGGGGCATAACTGACAAACGCTGCCTCTTAGTACTGACCTCTGGGATAATCAAAAGGTAGAGTATAAGTATGAAGTATTCAAATATTCAAAGTACAAGCACCACAAAAGTGTGTGTAGGCCTACAGTCCACAACTGGATATCTTGAATACTTTTATAACAGTCATGGAGCCAGTGATTGTACATGTTACTTATTTATTGTAGTTAGTAGCTCCATTTCAGCTCACAAAATAGTCTTATTTTCAGTCTCAGTCACTCACAATAATAAACCATCAGTTGTATTGAGCGGTGGGACTGAGCTGCAGTTCACATCTTCACCACCAGAGGGCGCTGCTGCCTGTGTGCAGAGATAAAGCGTCACAGTTGAAAGGTGAAAGGTCGTCACAAACATGGCGGCTCCCCTGGATGACATGTTTTCCTTCTGCGTGGACCCCGGCAAAGTTGCCAGCGGCGTGGACGTGCGATTTATCGACAATATAAAGGTAAGACGGGTTAAAGGTTGTTAAAATAAAGACATGTAGACAGCTCTGTGGTTTATGGTGAGTCTGTAGCGGCGGTGTGGGGACGTTAGTCTGATGTCAATGTGGAGCAGAGCCGGGCTGAGCCGAGCCGGGTGAGCTCAGAGATACTGGGGGAGCTGGACTGGTGGTGATAGTGGTGGCAATATTAAATCTGTCAGTGTCCGAAACTACCAGTAAGTTACTGGTTTGTACGTTCAGTGTGTTCACCTCAATTTAAAATGAGTAAGTGAA